CTGGGCGCTGTCCCTCAGCTCTTCAGCTCAAGGCTAGCGCTCTACCACTTGAGCCACAGCGCCACTTCCGGCTTTTTTCTTTTTGCTTATGTGGTGCTAAGGAATCGAACCCAGGGCCTCGAGCATGCAAGGCAAGCGCTCTACCACTGAGCCACCTTCCCAGCCCCCAAACCTTTTTTTCTTTAAGATAAATTATATGAACATGCTTTCCTAGCATGAAATAATTGCTTTATAAAACTTAAAAAAATATTCTTTGCCTTGCATCATCAAGTACATATCTGTAAATTTAGCTCCTTAGGAGCTTGAGACAGGAGGGTCTTGTATTTGAAGCCTGTCCAGGCAAATTGCTAAGACCCTGTCTCCAAAAAGGGGGGGTTGGAGGGAGGCACCAGCAGCAAGAACCTCAAAGAGAATGGGAGGTTCTTTGGGCCTGATGAAGGAGGTACTAAATAATTATCAGAAGAAATATGCATCAACCTGTGTCAAGGGAACTTCAGGTCAGAAGTCACTAGCAATGACAAGCTCCAGAGAGTTCACTTTTAGTCTCGGACTTTGAAGCTCTCAGCCAATAAAAACCCTGTCCTGTTACCTTCTTTACCTCTCCTCTCTTCTGCCAGGGAGAAGGTCAGCACCAGGAGATCAGAAACTCTAAAGGCAGGCAGAGATGGTCACTAGCTGAAAATTCATATGCATGTTCACTATTTTAGTCCTTCCTCCTACACTTTTTACATTGTTTTCTTTCTCTTCATTACAGGTCAAGATTAGAAAATCGTCCGAAGTCTATGACTTTGGTAGGTTGTGTTGATAGTCATTAGAATGTTCTGTTTCCATTAGAAATAACACAAGAGGGGCTAGGATTATGGCTCAGTGGTAGAGTGCGTGCCTCACATGCATGAGGCCCTGGGTTCGATTCCTCAGCACCACATAAGCAGAAAAAGCCGGAAGTGGGTGCTGTGGCTCAAGTGGTAGAATGCTAGCCTTGAGCTGAAGAGCTGAGGGACAGTGCCCAGGCCCAGAGTTCAGGCCCCACGACAGACCAAAAAAAAAAAAAAGAAAGAAGCAAAACAAAAAAAGAGTGGTGTGTGCTCAAGTGAAGTAACATTAGATTCCTTCAGCAGTGCTCAATATCACAGGTTCATGAATTATCAAAATACAGATCAATAGCATGGCCATATTGCTTTGCCTCAGTTATTTTTTTTGTGGTTGTGGGCCCTGAGCTGCCTCAGTTATTTTTAAAATTAAAAGAAATTAAATGTAAAAAAAAAAGAAATTAAATGTATGCTTCAGCCAAGTAATCCAATGAGACATAATGTTGGAGTTCTTATTAAATGTGTGGTTGGGCTGGGAAGGTGGCTCAGTGGTAGAGTGTTTGCCTTGCATGCATGAAGCCCTGGGTTCGATTCCTCAGTACCACATACACAGAAAAAGCTGGAAGTGGCACTGTGGCTCATGTGGTAGAGTGCTAGCCCTAAGCAAAAGAAGCTCAGCGATAGTGCCCAGGCCCTGAGGATTGGCAAAAAAAACAAAACAAAAAAAAAAATAAATGTGTGGTCAAGTGTGGCTGATTCTTAGAATTCCTTTGAATGTGACTTTAAATAGATACCCAGGTATGGACCCTATTTCTAGCTCTCCAGTAAGCTCAATTCCAGTTGGGACCTGGTCATCAGTGCATTTCACAAGTTGTGTGAATGATTCTCATACTTACACAGGACAAGAACTACTGCCACTCTCCCTGTAAGCGGCCTGAGGTGAGCTGTAAAAATGGTTCACTGCTTTTTGACCCAGAAAACTCCACAAAATCATGCAACTCCAGAGGTTCAAATCTTCATGTTTACGAACACCAGAAAAGAGAAACAGCCTAGGCCATCAAGGGTATGCATATCCGAAAAGCAACCAAGGGTCTGACAGATGGCGCTTTAAAGAAGCAGTGTGTGTGTGCCATTCTGGCATTACAGTGGTGGTGTAGGCAGGTGTAGTCAAAACATTGTGGCTGGATGCATGGTCAGTGACCCAAAAAGAGTGCTGAATTTCTGCTGCACATGCATAAGAATGCAGGGAGTGATGCCGAACTGAAGGGTTTAGAAGTATACTCCCTGGTCCATTGAACACGTCCAGGTGAACAAAGCACCCAAGATGCTGAACTTGAGACCATGGTGGGATTAACCCATCAGTGAGCTCCCCCTGTCACACTGAGATGATCCTTACTGAAAAGGAGCAAATTGTTCCTAAGCCAGGAGAAGAGGGTGCACAGGAGAAAAAGGTATCCCAGAAGAAACTGAAGAAACAAAAACTTGTGGCTCAGGAATAAATTTAGCATAAAATAAATGCTAATAAATGGGGGGGGGGGGAAGAACCACTGCCAGGTATCTTGTGTGTTGATTTGCTTTAAGTGATCAGGATTGTGATTTTTTTCCCATAATTATCTTAAGGAGGTCAGCTCAACAAATCAGTTTATGAGTACACTGCATCTTGGTCCAGAACAATGACCCCTTATATCATTGTCCTGCATCTTTTCCAACCCCATCCATACCCCCAAATTATGTGGTTCCATCTTCACATATGTACACTGAATAAAATATATATATATATGTATTTAAACCATGTACAGTTTATTATAAGCCATAAAGATACATTTTTGTTATAATGAATTTATTTGGGATTCATGAAAAGTTAGTGTCCATATTGAGGGACGGCTTGATGACAAGACGAAGAGGCAATTTGATGATGGAAGAAGGGAGAAAAGGCCATGTGATATGAAGCTGGGAGCCCAGCAATCGGGCAAGGCAAAGCAAAGCACTCTCCTACAGACACTGCAGAGGGCTGCACATCCTACCCACCCCTTGACTTCAGTCCAGTGAAACCCAATTTTTGGACTTCTGACATCCAGAACTATAAAAGAAGCAAAGTGTTTTTTTTTAATTGTGAAAATACCATACAGAGGGGTTACAATTACATGGGCAAGGTAATGAGTACATTTCTTACCAAGCCTTGTTGCCTCCTCCTTTGTTTCCCCTTCCCTTCCCTTCCCACCCCCCACTTGTTATAAGCAACCAAATCTGTCGTTATTTGTTGCAGCAGCCAGAGACAACTCAAAACCTGGGAGGGAAAATAGCTTTGGGAAGGAAGCTGTTGTAACTCTATTTGCCCTGCTAGGGGCAAAAAGGAAATCCACCAGCGTCATTCTCACTAAAAGTCATAGCAACAGAATGCATGTAAATCTCTTACAGGAAAATGTTGTGACCATCTTATGACAACATTGCACCTTCCTGTGGTTTTATTTTAAATATACCATCTCTAGGTATATAATAACGGGCTTGTTCATAAGGGGGTCCATCCACTCTCTATCTACTGTGCAAACAAATAGAATGTCACCCTACAAATTCACTGCTCTATACTTGTATTTTACTCTGAAACTGTAAAGGAAAAAGTTGACCAAATAGTTTGTGTTCCTACCAAAAATAAGTTCTTATTTGGTGAGATGGATGGAAGTTACATGAACTACACTACTGCTTAAATTTATCTACTTATCCTCCAATCAATCTATAAAATACTCATCTAGAGACATCTATGTTAGCCAACAAATTCAATTGATTTTTTTCCTTTAGTTTGGAAGAAAGAAATAGACATTTGGAAGATTTAATTAGACTACCCAAAGAGAAAGCCAGAAAACAAAGGTAAGTTTTCTTTCCTTTCTTGAAAAATGTACATTTAAAATAGTACACTTTTATTTACTATATATTTATATATTCCTAAATAGTACATTTTTATTTACTATATATTTATATATGTATTTGTATATGTATTTATGTATGTATTATGTACTACTCTCTATATAGCATATACACATATATAAGTATATGTAACTATATAAATAAGTGCATAAACACATATATAAACAGTATTTATATATAATTACATATATAAATGTACTATTTACTATATTATATAATAAATATTACAGTAAAATCCGTTTTTCTTTTTTATATGCTTTTTAAAATTTTTATTTTATTTATTTTTTGTTTATGTGGTACCAAGGAATCAAATTCAGGGCCTCATGCATGCTAGGCAAGCACTGTACCACTAAACCACATTCCTAGCCCCAAACCTTTTTTTTTTTTTTTTTTGGTGCAGTTGTGGGGCTTGAACTCTGGGCCTGGGCGCTGTCCCTCAGCTCTTCAGCTCAAGGCTAGCGCTCTACCACTTGAGCCACAGCGCCACTTCCG